GGGAGTATCCCTCTATGTGAAATGGGATTCCAAAGTCCATTCATACGCTAGGGATAAGTACTGATCTACTACAAGAGGCCCCATAGATTTCCGAGGTCTCCTCACTGACACGCACATTTATGGGGTCTGGATCAGTCCCATGCTGGTTTCCCAGTGATCAGTCTGGGAGCCAAAAGCTCCCCCTTATTCAGGTCAGCTGTTTCTGTGGGTTTCACCAGTATGGTCTTGACCCTTTAAGTAAGAATTCTATTGCATGAGTAGACAAGGCATTTGTTAATATGTAAGGAAATGAGAACATGGCTTAAATTAATGAGCAATAGAAAAGTTTCTCAGTTTGTTTACTTTCTTTTTTATTGGTGGGAGGTGGGCACTTGTGTTTCACATGTAGAGTCAGTTCTTGCCTTTTACCGTGTGGGCCCTGGGGATCGAACTTAGACCATCAAGCTTGGCAACAAACACCTTTACCAACTGAGCCATATCACCAGCCCAAGAAAAACATTTTTAAAAGCCTTAGAGTAGAACTGAGAAAAATTCTAAAAAAGTGCTTTTTAAATTAGTAAACAGTTCTTTTTCCCAAGTCTGGAAGTAAGTGAGAAGTATCTCATCATTTCTCAGGGACCTGGCTCTTGTAGACCAGATACCTGCACTTGTATATAATTCAAAAGCTGCCTCACACAAAGATAGGCATCAAATATTAGGTGTTTTATTTTATTGGAAGTGATCTAAAGAGCTAGAAATACAGTATTGTTCAAGAAAATATATTAAGTAAAACTTCCAAGACACTGTTCAGTGACGGCTTGTCAGCTCAGTGGTAGAGCATGTACTTAGTATGTTCATGACCTGGGATGTCAGCCCCATGGTAGAACATGTGCTCAGTATATACAAGGCCCTGAATCGACCCCCTGCTCCAAATTATGTAGTGCCCTAGGGGGAAAGTGATCACAAATTACAAATTGTGGGTTTTTTGTTTTTTAGGGTTTTTTTGGATAATATCAACACATAAATACTCATTTATTTTTAAAGTACCAGAGTTGTTGACTGATTGGTTAAAAGCACTGGCTACTCTTGTAGATGATCTGGGTTTGGTTCCCAGCACCTACATGACTGTTCACATTCATCTGTAACTCCAGTTCTAGGGTGACAACCTCTTCTGACCTCTGAGGGCATGCATGTGGTACACATATATACATACAGGCAAAATGCTGTGCACATAAAATAAAATGTTTTTTCAATATATGGAAATGTTAAAAATTAATTACGTCTCTATATATTAGAAGTATTTTCAATTAGGGACAGAATGTATTTATTTAGCTTATAAAATTCCTTCTTGGCAAGCATGTATTATCTTTTTAACCACCAAAAGCAATAAATAGTACAAGCAAAATGACGATACCTCAGCAGTGCTGGTAAATACCAATTTACATAGCCTTAGTCCACAGTTCTTTGCTATCTTCTTTTTTCAGAATTATTTTATGTGTGTGCTTTCATGTGTTCATGTGAACCACACACATGCAGATATCCCCAGGTCAGGAGACATTGGATCCCCAGGAACTGAAGTTACAGATAGTTATGAACCATGATATGTGTGGTAAGAATAAAACCTGGGTTTTCTTGAGAGCAGCAAGTGCTCTTAACTGCCTACCCATCTCTCCAGTCCCCACAATTTGTTTTAAACTAGTAATATGTCATCGTGGTCTACACTGGCAGAGGAACACTGACCCTGAACCAAAGAAATATGTAAACAGTGAGACCAATGTGATGCCTGTTGAATAAGTCTCCTCATCCTCAGGCTACTAAGTAACACATAGACCTTGTGGCTGGGCAACAGGGCTAAGCTCTCTCACCAGGCTCCATTACACATCTTCAGATACAGACTTGGGTGGAGAGATGGCTCAGTAGTTAAGAACATTTGCTGCTCTTCTAGAGGACTGGGAGATTGGTTTCCAGCACCCACGCCAGGTAACTCACAACTTCCTGTAACTTCAGCTCCAGGGAACCCAACACCCTCTTATGACCTCTGCAGGCACCTGCACACACAGATGGTATGTATTCACACAGACGCATACACACATGCATGTGAATACAAATAAAAATATTTAAATATAAAAATGTATATGTGGCCGGGCGTTGGTGGCACACGCCTTTAATCCCAGCATTCGGGAAGCAGAGGCAGGCGGATCTCTGTGAGTTCAAGGCCAGCCTGGTCTACAGAGCGAGTGCCAGGATAGGCTCCAAAGCTACACAGAGAAACCCTGTCTTGAAAAACCAAGGGGGAAAAAAAAAAGGTATATGTGGTTAGCTGGCTGACTACAGACTAACACAAGGAGAAATATGTAAATGTTAAAAACAGTAACTGCCTGGTGGTTAGCAGCACTCACACACCTTTAACCCCAGCACTCTGTGAGTTCAAGGACAAGCCAGGGCTCCACAGAGAAACCCTGTCCCCCTCCCCACAATCAGAATAACTAATCATTAATCAGTATTTTAGGGAGTTTATTATAATTGACATTTAAATTCTGTCTTGAAACCACTTACCTGAAGAATTTGTTTTCCAGTTCCTGAGAGCAGAAATGGGCCGAGACTACCAGCTGGCCAAAAAGCTATGTCAGATGAGTAAGTGCCAAATGCTCGCCTTCTCCTGATGTTGTCCCTTTGTTTCTAGAAACAGATCCAACAATACGAAGATGGGTTGGCTATCTCGGTCTAGTGAAATCTCTGTTGCTGTCTCAGGGATCCCTTAGGATAAATGAGTTCGGTTATCTATGGACTCACTGGGGCTCCTGGGGTACTACTTTGTGTATTAAATCAAAGTAGATTAATAGGCTGGTCACTGTCCTGGAAAACAGAATCATCATGACATAGGAAGCAGAAAGTCACTTTGTGCTGCTAAGTTTCAGCAAAGAGTCAGGTGGTAGGGGAGTCAACACTAGCTGATCATGTCCATTCCACGAATGTGCAACCCTGCTTGTGTGCCAGGCACTGTGTGAGACCCTGGACAATCAGCAAGCAACTGAAACCAATCCCACAGTCAGGTCTGCTGTTGGACAGAAAATAAACGAATAAGTAATTGTTGTGTCATGAATGATAGGTGCTATGGAGAAAACGGAAGTAGGAAAGAGGAAGGGGAGGTACTAAGTTGTCGGGCAGTTTCATAGGATGGCCTGGAAGGTTTCACTGGGAGCTGGAGGACAGAACTGAACTGTTGGAAGCCAGCCTGTGGGCATCTGGAGGAAGAAGGTACAGAGCAGGGTGAAGTTCAGGTGTACTGAGAGGGAAGGTGCCTGAAGGCAGCCATCAGAAACCTGTGTGGATCAGACAGGGCCAAAGGCAGGTGCTGGCCTATGAGGCTAGAGACATGACATGGGCACAGGCTGGGTGGGCAGCACAGACCTTTCCCCAGCTGAAGGACCTTGTTTTGCCCTGTGGTTGGTAGAAAACCGTGGAAGCTTTTGGTCAGAGGATATACCTGGTCTACCTTATCTTTCTATCTGGTGTTAGGTGGTTAGAATTACTCTTTGTGGTTTTCTTTGTGTTTAAGCAATGGGTGCTTTGTTGAGTTTCTTAAATCTATATTTGATAGTTTCATCTAGTTCAAAATTTGCTTGGTTATTACCTTTTCACATACCACTTCTGCCCTGGTTGCTCGAGCTCCTTTTCCTGGTTCTCCAGTTACAGGCGAACAACAACAGCAAACTTTTAAAATGGTGCCTGACATGCCTCTTAAACTCAGCTCAGCTCTAAGTTTAATATTTTAGTTCTGTGCTTTATGATGTTAGACATTCTCTATTGACATGTTTTTTAATTTACTTACCCTCTTCCCCTGTGTCCAGTTAAAACTATACAGGGAGGGGCTGGAGAAATGGCTCAGAGGTTAAGAGCACTGGCTGCTCTTCCAGAGGTCCTGAGTTCAATTCCCAGCAACTACATGGTGGCTCACAACCATCTATAATGAGGTTTGGTGCCCTCATGTGCCAGAACACTGTATACATAATAAATAAATAAATCTTTAAAAAACAAAAACTACCCAGGGAATTAGTAGGGTGGTGGTGACGCATTCCTTTAATCCCAGAACTCAGGAGGCAGAGACAGGTGTATCTCTGTAAATTCAAGGCCAGCCTGGTCTACAAATTGAGTTCCAGGACAGCCAACAGAGAAACCCTATTTTGAAAAATGAAAAAAAAAAAAGAAAAAGAAAAAGAAACAAAAGAAATCCTATTCAGGGAGTCAATTTTCAGAAATTCTATTTTCTAATTTTAGAATGTTTCTTTAATGATTTGGAAAGATCCCAGCCAACTCTCAATGTGTTTCCAACCACTCTACCCCCAACCCCTCCCTTCCCCTCTCCCCCCTCCTTTTCCTTCCCTTCCCTCTTCAACAGAGTCTCTCTATGTAGCCCTGGCTGTCCTATATAGACCAGGCTAGTCATATAAGGCTGGCTCTACCTTTTCTTCTAATATGGCAGTCATGGTTATTTTAAAAGAGAAAATGGCAACTCTATTCCTCACTATTAACAAGACCCAAAATGGTGACTGTGATGGGAATGCACAGCCCAGGGATGGGAGCATTCCCACCCTGACATAGCACTTCATTCCTTGTTAAAATGGGTTCCATGACCCCTTTAGCACAACGTAGTTTACATCCAGGGTAGTGTGCCTTGTGAATCCTCAAAAGCACTTGTGACCTTTTGAGACCTGTGTGCCCCCACACAGACTTTCCAGTTTCAGAGAATAGAATGTCTGGTGTGTCCAATCTTAAGGGGCCCACTGAGAGTTAAACCCAGTGCCATGGTCATGCCACCATGCCCTCTACAACTGAGCATGCCTTGCCTCAGCCCTCTTAATTGTATAAAGGAACTGAATGAAGCAGAAGGAGGTAGGCAACTGACTTGGCACAGTTGACAGTGACAGTGACACAGGAGGGTGGCACTCGAAGCCTCTTCCTGCAGTGACTCCCTTCTCCCCAGCAGGGAGTATAGAAGTGAGTGATTCTATTTCTCTCACGCCTGACTCTGTGGATTTCTTATGGAACCAAATCTGGGGGAAATTATACTTTTTTTTTTTTAACCTCCGTACCCATCGATCGTTTCAGAAAGCCTGGCTGTAGCTTACAAACTCAGCACCAGTATCACATCCACCAGGTGGTTCTGACCAACAGCCCTGCAGTTCATGGCATAGGTCAGGCTTCCAGTAAAGTGCTGTTGACCTGCTGTGAACCGTGAACATCCGCTGTAGGTCCATGGGGCTGAAAAGTTTAAATTGAGGTGTCTTCATGGGATTATATCCTAATGAAACCTCTCCCTCCCTGTCCTCTCCCTTTTCTTTCCCACCCTCCTGCAGTAACATATTGAACATGTGTTCTACCACAGCACCATGCTGGAAAGAGAGCAGGGGTCCTGGCCAATTGGTTTTCCCATGTAGTCTCCCCCACTTACACTGCTCGACTTTCTGTCTCCTAGCCTGTATAGTACTTGAGTCTAGGTGTAAAGCAGTCTGCTTCCTGTCCCTCTGTCTACATTCATTTACTCTGACATTTAGGGGTTTCCTGCTATGTGACACACATCTGAGTGGGGGATACAGCTGTGCTTTCTGGTTTAATTTTCCCCACGCTGAGAAACTGAGAGACACAGAGCCCACTGCTTCACCACCCCAGCCCCTCAGCCAAAAGAGAGCCTACCGATGAATGTTAACCATTCTGTAATTCTAGAGCCATTCTTTTAAAATAATGATAGTAATGACAATAACAACTAATACTTATTAGTTGTTCTACCATGCACCAAGCACTGAGCCACTGTGTAAAGTAGCCAGTATGGTGGGAGCCTGGAGTGCAGGCTTGAAATACTGAAACAGAACCCTGAAGCATTCCTGTGGGGGGCTCTTTCTTTCCCAGGGACTCAGATGGGCTGTTTTGCTTACAGAGGTCCTCTAACACAAAATACTAGAAATCTCCCTCAACTCGTCATAGACCCTCTTAGTCACTCTGAGTAAGGATAGCTAGAACACTAAACTAGACATTGCTGGCCAAGCGTTAAAGCTGCTGCCATTCCTTTATTTTCTGAAGACTGACAGCTGGGACAGACAAGCTGAACTGAAGGAGTAGCTAATCTCATATCTGATCCCATGTGATAATCCTAATTCCAATGGGAAGTTTCCTAAATGGTTCTAAGAATTGCTAACCTGTTCAGTGAACCCTGTGGTTACTCCTACATGTAAATTTTACTTCAATAAATGTATTTGACCTAGTTTGCCAAATGGGTGTGTAAAGAAGCAAATCAGAGGAACCGTTCTTCAAAGAGGCTTGCCTCACACAAGTAATTTAGACTAACAATAAGCATATTTTAGTCCAACTTAAAATATAGAAAGAAGTACTTTTACAACAACATATTGGTTCTGAAGACACCTAGAATCCTTGGAAGGAACTTTTAAGCAGGCGCATAGTCCAACACAGACTGGTGATAAATGCTAGTCACATTTAGTGGAGTCAGTAGTAGTTGCTGGCATGGTGAGTCAAGGCAGAGACCAGGGGATCATTTCCTAAAGAGCCTTGAACATCCACAGTTACCTCTCACACACAAGCAAATGAATAGCACGCTTGGTGTTTCAGTGCCCCCTGGGGGCCACTGAGATACTGCATGAGAGTGGAGTGGGTGTGTAACCCGAATACGGAATACTCCTCACAGCAGGTGGAAAAGAAGAGGGTGGTCTGTAGGGTTTTGAAAAAATGGGGTGACTCTGAAATGAAACTCTGGCCTCTAGGATATTAGTAGCATATCAACAAGCCCCCCCCCCCAAAAAAATAGTAGTCCAAAGGAAGTAACATAGTTACAGCAAGGATCAGCAAAAGGCAGTAGCTGGGGTAGAGACTAGGGTAAAGTTGCTAGAACAGAAGTATAGTTTCTCTGTTTAAAACAGTGGCACTTCTGTCATGGAGAGTTGGCGCAAGGAAGAAAACTCACCTCTTTATAACTAGATGGGATCTTTATGTAGGCACTGTCATGAAGACACTGGGTGGATGAGATTGGGAGGGGTTGCAGACCTCTAGGGACATTTTCTTCTCCTCACCCAAGTCTCCAGATTTGAAGACTGTTGCTCTTTGGAGAACTTGATTCTCGAAGTCCTTCCATCGCTGGCCTGGGAAAGAAGCTGTGTTGAGGAGAATGTGTTCTTTGAATAGGAGGTGGGAAATACAGGGAGCATCATTTATCTTATAAAACACCACATGAAAGTAGAGAGTTTTCTTTGTGCTCAGGTGTACCTGGGATAGAATTGTGGAAGTTCTTTTTGTTGTTGTTGGTTTTGTTTTTTGTTTGTTTGTTTGTTTACTTTTGCTTGCTCTGATTGACAGTTTCAGTCTGTTTCACTCTGAGGGGATGTTTGCTCAAACGCTAGATTTTAATAATGTTGTAATTTTTAAAAGGTGGCTAGAGAGAGAAAGATGCCATGTGACGGGGTTCAAGGGGAGGGCTTTTTATTAGGGGAAAGAGATCATAAAAGGGGGAAAGGGGAGGGGGAAAATGGCCTCTGGGACAGGAGCAGCAGGAGAGAGGAAAGAGGCAGAGAGAGAGAAAGAGACAGAGGGAGAGTAACAGACAGAAGGAGAGAAAGAAAGATGGGAAGTGGTTAGGGTCCTTTTAAAGGGAGACATAGTGAATGTGCAGAGGTGGTACTCTTAGTGATAGCAGCTGAGGGCATACCCTGTCAGAACTCCAAGGGCAGGCCAGCACACATGCCTGAATACTAACAAATAACATATATTCTGTTGTCTGTTTTCAGTCCTAATCTATGAACCAGAAAATCCTGTGGCCAAGGAATTTTTCTCACTTATTGAAGAAATATTGCTGAAAGGTAATTTTGAAATTTGAAATTTATTCTTCCCTCATAGAACTATAAACAGTGTTCTTAAAAAAAAAAGTTATGATAGATTGTGAAAATACTTCTTCAGGAAATGTTAAGGAATGTCTAAACCAGTGGCTCTCAACCTTTCTGATGCGTCTTCTCTTTAATACAGTTCTTCTTGTTGTGGTGACCCCCCCACCATAAAATTATTCTCATTATGTAATTTTGCTACTGTTATGAATTGTAATGTAAATATCTGATATACAGGATGTCTGATATGTAACCCCTGTGAAAGGGTCGTTCAACCCCCTGATGTGTTGTGACTCACAGGTTGAGAACCACTAGTCTAAATGGCTCTTTTGAGTGGTCTAAAATCAGCTTGCCTTCTGTGAGTGGAAGAGATTGACTTCCCCATTTTCTACATGGGGTGGAACTGTCCAAACAAAGCCAGCTCTCTTGAACATGGAAAAAGCAGAACATGTAACATTTCCAGTGATGTCAGGGTGCTCTAAATTACCCAAAACTGATTTCCTTTATCCTATTTCAGAATTTCTTTAACGTTTTACAAAGTTTGGTTGGTGTAATTTTTAGAGAGAGTCTGAAGAATAACCCTGATCTTCGAGCCTCAGCTGCTTGAGTTCTGGGATCATGCCTGGCTTTTTAAGGATTTCATTGACAATAGTAAAAGTTATTTTTAGACCTGTGTTTTAAGTTAACTTTGACTTAATATGTTGACTCTCTTGTTATATCTTGATCCTACACCAAGTTAAGCTCCATTTTTATATTCCTCAAAAACACGTACTTCCTGGAAGAGAGAGTTGAGATGTAAGAGTTTTTGGAGCGTGGGAACACTGAGGAACATAATTGGCGTCTCTCTCCTTTCCATGGCAGAGAAAGCACAGAAACATGAGGAAGATGACGAGGACAGTGAAGAGGACACTAGTAGTGAGAGTGAAGCAGAAAGCAGTGAGGACGCGAGTGATGACAGCTCCGACGAATGTGAAGATGGGTCCTGAAGGTCTCTGCTGTGGAGAATTATTTTCAAGAGTGTATGCCATGCAAATGCAAATATAAGGAAGAGAGCTTCTGTGTAGTGTGTGGTTTCTTCCATTCAGAGTTCAATGGATCTGCATTCTTAGTTTGAGTCCCTTGCTCATGTTTAGGTTTACACAAAGGCAAGTCACTTAGAGAGGGAAGTAGGGAGGAAATATAATGTGCTGGGAACACAGTGAGTACTCTGTATATATTATTTAATCTTACAACACCAAGTAGTATGTAACTATCTCCATTTTACAGGTGAAAAAAGTGAGTCATGGTGAGGGTAAGTAGTTTCTCTTCTGTGAGCCACCTATTTGTAGGCTCGGGATTTGCCTCTGTGACATCATGACTCAACAGCTGTGTTTCAGTCCCCGCTCAATGACTACCTCATCAAGCCTTTAAAAAAAAAAAAAAGTCATCTGTTCCTGTAGCATGTACCAGCATCTGGAGAGCTCATCTTCTCCCTGGCAGAGAAACAGGACTTTGGTGTTTTTCATGATTGTGTCCCTAGCAACTGGTGAGTAGCTAGAAAATAAGTGTGTGTGTGTGTGTGTGTGTGTGTGTGTGTGTGTGTGTGTGTGAATAAATGAAATGAAAGATGAATGTTTCTATTTTTAATGCAACTGGAAAGGCTTTTTACTTATGTATGGATCGATGTTATTTTTGATTCTGTATGGTTTTTTGTTTGTTTTGTTTTGTTTTGTTTTGTTTTTTGAGACAGGGTTTCTCTGTGTAGCTTTGGAGCCTGTCCTGGCACTCACTCTGGAGACCAGGCTGGCCTCAAACTCAGAGATCGGCCTGTCTCTGCCTCCCGAGTGCTGGGATTAAAGGCGTGTGCCACCAATGCCCGACTTGATTCTGTATCTTTTAAGACTTATTTTATCTTGTGTGTGTGTGTGCGCGCGCGCGCGCGCGTGCGAGCACACGCACAAGCGCGCACTGTGTAGATGTACCGTATGTGCAGAGGGGATTTTGAGGCCCCTGGAACTTGAGTTACAGGTGGTTGTAAGGCATCTGATGTGTTGGGTAGGAACCAAACTGGGGTCCTTTGCAAGAGTAGCCAGTGCTCTTAACCACAGAGACTCAGGATTCTTTGATAAATTTCTGCCACATTTAAATTAATTGTGATGTAGTTAAGGTAAATTTTTAAAAAATTCCTAAATAATTTCTTTATGAATATCAATCTGAATTGAGGGCAAGAGCTTCCTTTTTCTGATCTCACAGTGGCGTGGTATATCCTAGTTTACAAAGTACACTAAAATTATTACTGAAGACTAGGGTTTTTTACCTTTTACTTATGTATATGTATGTGAGCACATGCACACATATTTGTACCACAGTGTACATATGGAGGACAGAGGACAACTTACAGGACTCACTTCTCGCCCTCCACCTTTATAAGAGTTCCATGCATGAGACATATACATTGTCAGGCTTGACAGTAAGTGTCTTTACCCATTGATCCACTTCACCAGCACATAGACATGCACAGTTCAACAACAAGGCAGCATTACCAAAAGATACTTAAGGGTCTACTACACAGAGAAAAAAAGAAAGTTAGAGAGCTCATAAGAGAGTCTCAATGGAAGAGTATATAATGAAAATTAGAGAATCAAATATTGTTAGCCAAGTAAACCAGCAAACCTATAAAATAAATAAGGGAGAAAGATACACACCTTTAAATAACCTTAAATATGTATGTATGTCTTGAAGCAAGGTTTCATGTAGCCCAGGCTAGCCTCAAAGGGCACACTATGTAGCAGACCATGGCCTTGAATTTCTGATCTTCCTAAGTGCTGGAATTACAGGCATGAACCACCATGTTCAGTTTTATGTAGCTCTGGTGGTCAAACCCAGGGCTTTGTACGTGCTGGGCAAGCATTCTGCCAACTGAGCTACATCCCTAGCCCAGTATCCCTAAATATAAGTGGTCTTAATTCTCCAATTAAACAGTACATACAAACTGAATGGTTTTTTTCTTAAAGCAAAATCCAACTATTTGCTGTCTGCAAGAAATTCACTTAATGGATGCCAACACAATAAAAATGAAAGAATGGATAGTATTTCAAGAAAACAGAAACCAAAAACAAAAAGGAGTAGCTATACTCAAGTTTGACAAATGTGTTTACATATTAGTTTACATATTAGACTCTGTGTGTGTGTGTGTGTGTGTGTGTGTAACAAAAAGAGGCCATGATATGATTTTGTGAGGGAGCAAGGCAGGTGTGGTAGTTTGAATGTTATTGGCCCTCATAAACTCATAGGGACTGGAACTATTATGAGGTGTAGATTTGTTGGAATGGGTATGGCCTTGTTAAAGGAAGTGTGTCACTGTAGAGGTGGATTTTGAGGTTTCCTATGCTCAAGATACTACCCAGTGTTTCAGTAGATTTCCTGTTGCCTGCAAGATGTAGGATTCTCAGCTATTCCTCCAGCACCATGTCTGTCTGCACATCTCCATGCCCTCCACCATGATGATCATGGACTGAACCTCTGAAACATAAATGAGCCACCCCAATTAGATGTTTTCCTTTATAAGAGTTGCCATGGGTCATGGTGTCTCTTCACAATAATAGAAAGCCTAACTAAGACAGCAGGGTACATGGGAGAGATTATAGGGAGGAATAGGAATGGAGAAAGTGAACTAGCAATTGTATTTTAATTTTAACATTGTTCTAAGTTTAAAATATATTTTAAATTTATTTTTAATGGAGGCTGGAGAGAGGGCTTAGCAACTAAAAGCAATGGATGATCTTCCAGAGGAACTAGGCTTAGTGCCCAGAACCCACATTGTATCTTAGAACTATAGCTTCTGTATCCTAGAATCTGCGCTGGCTACTTTTATGCCAACTTATCACAAGCTAAAGAAATGAAACATCAACTGGAAAATTGCCTCCATAAGATTGGGCTGGAGGCAGGACTGTAGGGCATCTTCTTTATTACTGGTGTAGAGGGCCCAATCCCTTGTGGGTGGAAACACCCCTGGGCTTGTGGTCCTGGGTCCTATAGGTTGAGCAAGACATAACAAGCCAATTAGCTGCACTCCTTGTTGGCCTCTGTATCAGCTCCTACCTCCAGGTGACTTTCTTCAATTATGAACTGTATTGTGGACATGTAAGCAAAATAAACCCTTTCTTCTCCAAGTTGTTTTTGGTCATGGTGTTTCATCACAGTAGTAACCCTGACAAAGATGGGGTCTGACTTCTGCAAGTACCAGGCACCCACATATATGAAGGCAAAATACTCATTAAATAAATCTTTAAAAATTAAAAAAAAAAAAGCCTATTGGGTATTATCTGGCATTGTGGTATACACCCATAACCTCAGTAATCAGGAGGTAAAATCAAGAGGATAAGGAGTGTGAGGACAGCCTCAACTACATGAGACCCTGTCAAAAAATAAAATGCTTAAAAACAAACATAGCCAAGGAAGAAAAACAGCTCTGCAATGAAAACCAAAAAATACATACAGACACACATGCATGCATGCATACATACACACACACACATATGCACACACATAACACATGCAGACATACACACATATGCACACACATCATACACCACACAAGCATAAAAGTCAATTGTGTGCGATTGTACATGCATGTGTTGGTTTTTTGAAGCGAGGGCTCAGTCTGTAGTCTAGGCTGGTCTTGAACTTACATCAATCCTCCTCCCTTTACCTCCAGAGTATTTATAGGATTGAGCCACCGAGTTCACACCAAGTTCAAGTATATATTTTGTTAACTTTAATGAGCTCCTTACTGGAACCCTTTTAACATTTCAGCTACTTTGTAACAAGGTTTTGGGCCTCAGGTTCCTCAGTGCATCTTTGTAATAAAAATTATTCTAAGCCAGCCGGGTCTGCAAAGCCAGTTCCAGGACAACTAAGGCTGTCTTTACACAGAGAATCCCTGTCTCCAAAAACCAAAACAAACCAACAAAAAATGTAAATATCTTGACAAGAAACAGGTTACTTGCAAATTACCATTAACTTGCCTACCACTGTATAATGCGCTCTAAGGAGTTCTTGCCTGTCCTAAGAGCTACCAAAATCTTCCCACTGGTGTCAGAAGAGTTTAGCCAAAGGCGCAACAGACCAAATCAACTGACTTTGTCATCCCCAGAGTATTTTGTCTTAACTCAAAACCTGCCAGTGAAAGAAAAGAGGAAACATTAAAATCAAATGTTGCAGCTGGTGGGGTGGGGGGGTGGGGCATGCCTTTGATTCCAGCTCTTGAGAGGCAGAGGCAGGCAGATCTCTGAGGTTTTTTGTTTGTTTGTTTGTTTGTTAAAGTCACTAAGCAAACTTAAGAGAACACTGAGAGATTTGTCTCAAACTAAGTTGCTAGCCTTGCTCTCTAACCTGCTAAGGCAATGCTTGTGTGTACTGTTTCCATCCACTATGACACTTACATTGTTCAGGACAGCTTATATCTGGGGAAGGAGGACAGCGCTTTGCCCTTCCTCTGCTTTCTCATCTGGATTCAGAGGTACAAACAAACAAGCTGGCCCAAGAAGGACAAGCCATACTCACACTGGAGTTGCTATGTGCCTTCTCTTCCTGATCTAAATGTTTTGGAATGCATCTATTCAGCTGTACAAAATAAAACCAACAAATCATGAATTGAGTGGTTACAGTGATTAAGAAACATTCTGTGCTGGGACACAATGGTAAGACAGTAATAACGGTTTCACAGAGCACATTTGTGTGTTTGTATTCACGAGGCGGAGGGAGGGGTGCATAAGTGTGTGTAGGCCAGAGGTTGACATTAGGTGTCTTCCGATAACGCTTTCTGCCTTGTTCTCTGAACCCAATGGTCACCAATTGGTTAGACTGTCCAGTGGGGTCTAGAAACGAGCAAGTGCTATGGAATAATCCTTTTGTACACTGTGAAGATTTGTCACTTGGAGAATAAGCTGATTGGATGGTAGCCAGGCAGGAAGTATAGCCAGGACAACCAAACTGAGAATGCTGAGAGAAACAAGATGAACATGCTTTGTTGAAAGCAGGTACCACCATGTGGCTGAGGGTAGATAAGAAATATGA